CACACACACACACACACACACACACACACACACACACACACAACACACCCGCACACACACACATACATATTATATACACACGGTTACATGCACATGAAAATGGTCTGAAATTTTGAAAAACAAAAATTAAAAAAATGACGAGATATAAAATTCACCCTTGCGAGAAAAAACGTTTGCTTCATGGAAAAGCGAGAAATTTGGAATATGAGAAAAGTGTCACGCTTGAGCAAAAATACAAAGCCTTCAAAGCTACAAGACTTGCATCGGGTATACCACGGTTACCCGGTAGGAGCCTCTACTCGCCCATACCCACCCTTTTTCTTTTGGGCCACCCATACCCATCTTTTTTTTTTTTTTGGCCGCCCATACCCGTTTTTTTTCTTTTACCCCTACCCCTACCTACCCCTACCCACCCATGATCTCCAAAAAGGGCAATTGTGCCCGCCCTAACAACCACCACCTTTTGTTTGTGCCTATCCATACCCAACTCCCCCTTCGGAAGGGGTACTCATACCCACCCGTAATCTGGCGAGTACAGTTGGATACGGCCGGGTACGGACAACAGTTACCCGTTTGCACTCTCTGATACCACCCCCCCCCAATGAGAAAGGTGCCGCTGTGGGAGAAAGCACTCAAGAAAGCAAACTTGGATGTGCGGTCAGTCAATGGCAATGGACTGGCAGTTGCATCACAGCAAAAGACGCAAGCAATATGGGATATGATCCGGTCAAATGATGCCAATACTGGACCGATGCAGTATGCGTCCAAGAAACACACTTCTTGGAAAACCCTGCTCATCAGTCTAAGGCTCAACAAATCTGGCCATACAAAGCCTACCAAGCCTATACTAAGCACCACGATTCCGCGGGGGTGGCAATTTGGCTTCCCCCCCATTTCGAGACTACAGTTGTTTGAGGTCCTCAGGGACGAAGTTCATGGTAGATGGTTGCTCATTAAGGCTCGGTGGGATGGGGAAGAGATATGTCTGGCGAGCGTATACGCCCCTAACACGTCGACAGAAAGAGCTGAATTTTTTCACCATCTCCTGCAAGTGCTCCCGACAGACTCCCCCCTGATCCTGGCAGGCGACTCCAACCTTGTGCCAGATCCCGCAATTAACAGGAGGAGCCAAACACAGTCAGATGGTTCGGGCCAGTCAACGCAGCATCAAGGGTTTGATAGTCTGATGTTCAACCAACTGTTGGTCGAGCTTCAGTAAGGAGACTCCTACAGAACCACACACCCCACCAAATAGGCTTTCACATGTATAGAATCCAGGGGGTGCGACAACCTATCAAACTCCAAATTGATCTGTTGCTTATCTCCAACGACCTAGCGGACCCACTGATTGAGGTTGCCATACTCCTCTTCAGCCCCTCACGCTCCTTCGATCATAAGATGATCGTTATTGGTCTGGTCTCTAGCCCTCCGTTTGAAAGGGGACCCAACTTCTTTAAATTCAACTCATCCGTAATCAAAGAGCCAACTTTCCAACACTATGTTAAAGAGTACTGGGAGTATTGGCAGTCAAAAAAACAGGAGGCAGGATCGGTGGTCAAATGGTTTAATCTAGGGGTGACCTAATTAAGAAAACGAGTTAAAAAATATTCAATAAAAAGGGCGAGGGAACGAAAAGCGGTTACAGAGGACCTCCTAAGTATATTGGAAAAATGAGATGACAAATTGTCCTTGACTCCTTTGGACAATGCAGTATACTGCAATCTGCAGCAGGCAAGGGACCGTCTCTAAGAGTATCTCAATGGCCAAGCGGAGGAGTGGAGAATCCAGGTGAGAATCAAGCACATCCACACGAACGGGACCATGGCAAAAACGTTTTTCCAAAAGCCCAAGATGAGATCGAAGCATGCCTCCATAGTCTCACTTAAACACCCGTTGCATGATGGTCTCCCGTAAGCCATTAACCCGTACGCAGTAACTGATTATGCCGCTAAGTACTACCAAGAGTTGTTCACTTCCGAGATATCCCAATGACCAGCTAATAACGTTACGAATGCGAGGCATAAGGTGTTGCAGCACCTCGGATCCATCCTCTCACCAGACTACCGGTCTGCACCGGAACTCCCCGCTGAATCGACATGAGATCTTCGCCGCCCTGCAGCAAATGAACGATGAAAAAACATCGGGATTGGACTCGTCCCCCAAAGAATTTTGGCTCGCCTTCTGGGACATGTTTGAGAAAGACATTATGGACTACATAACAGCGGTTCTGACAAATGGCACTTTTGGAGGCCTCCTCAACCAAGGGGTTACCACCCTCCTGTGTAAAAGGGGCTCAAAGAATGAGGTAAGGAATTACAGACCCATAGCGCTTTTACCGGTCTCCTACAAACTGGTGGCCAAGGCACTTACTAGCCGCATGCTTCCCCATATGTCACATGCCATTCACCCTGACCAGTCCGAGTTCGTACCTGAACGTTCACTGGTGAATGAGACCATTAAATAAGCAAGACAAAGAAGGAAGGATGCATCGGTCCTTTTCAACGATTTTGAAAAGGCCTATGATCACGTGGATTGGGTCTTCCTAAACTTATGCTTGCAAAAAATGAACTTTGGTTCAAATTTCAGGATATGGGTGGACACCCTCCACAAAACAACGACGACTAACATGATGGCGAATGAACATCTCTCCAATCCATTCCCACTTCAGCGATCAGTCAGGCAAGGCAATTTCATTGCCCCTCTGTTATTCGTCGTAGTAATGGAGGCCCTCGCCACGGCCATCAGAGCTAATCCAGAGATCGAGAGGATAGATGTGCCTGAAATACCACACTGCTGCATCCCCGTGACATCACTCTTTGCAGATGATCTGACGGTGCTGATCAAGGTCAACCGCTCTTCTCTCCAAGCAATGGTCGCCACCATACACACATTTTCAATAGCATCCGATATGGTTGTGAATTGGGGTCCAAAAATGATGGTTGGTGGCTGCACCCCCAAGACCTCCCCCCCCATCCTCACCCGGCCAAAATATGGAAACCCAGGGAGGAAGTCATACGGGTACTGGGTGTGCGGCTTACAGCGTTGGGCCCCCCGCCAGATCATGGGGCCTCCTTGGTAGAGGAAGCCCTGCGAAGAATGGCTAGATGGAGGGGTCTGCACACCTCAATAGTCGGAAGAGCGTTGACACTTAATACCGCAATCTTTTCTGCGATGTGGTATAAAGCGGCATGCTGGCCGATCCCACCCAAACAACTTCAAAGACTAAGGAAGGCGGCAGCCGCATATCTGTGGAAAAATTATCACGAAGATCCCACTTTCCTTTCCCGTGTGGCGTGGGACAGCATTGCCCAACCCCGATTGAAAGGGGGTCTGGCAATTCTAGAACCACAAGACCAGCTCAAAGCTCTTACATTCAAAATAATCACCTGGTTGTTGACGTGACATGATGTCTTGTGGGCACCTTACGCTCACATTCAGATTGTCAATTTGGCCCCCACCTCGTCGTCGGAGAGGAAGATTCACTCACTACAATGGCTAACCAACCCTGCATGGCCAATCGCGGAACCGACCACACAAACTGCCTCCCTACTGGAGGCCCAAATTATAAAAGACACAACCAACGACCCACTTTGGTCCAACATGCTGAAACTTTTGAGAGAGATGGGCCCAGGCGCTTATCCCCCCCCCTGCAGTAGCACGAGATAGTAAGGCAACCACTCGTCGGTAACCCCTTCATATGAGATGTCGACGGGAAGTCTTTCCACCTATCGAGACGCTCACTTTGGAGACAATGGGTCACCCAAGGGATCTTCACAGTGGGAGATAACTGGGACTTCCAAAGGGGAGCATGGAAAACGGCGGACCAACTGAAGAACCCACTAAGATATGTCAGGGGAAGAGAAAAAAGTTTGGAACAGCTTCATGTATCCATCCCCCTCGCATGGATCTGCCCCTTGAAGAATGGGCCTTCGATTGAAAAAGGGGACTGGGTGATTCGTTGGCCCCATACTGGTCTTCTGCAATCGGTTGGTAAAGTGACAAATCTGACAGACCAAACTTCCCAATTGGAAGCATACGATATATCTTCGTCAGGGGTCACATGCTCTGCGCTGCGAAGAAACCAAGACAGGGAGACTGAGCAAAACTGGGCGAGCCTGGTCAGAGTGCGGGTGCTGGAAGGAAAGGATCACTCCCTCTTCGTATTCCAGCCGGGAATCGGTTCTCCAATACGACCCAGCGGAGTGACAGT